TAACTTAGCATATGGAATCCTGAACAAAAAGTGTTAATTTTGACATAATAGTCATAGAAAAAATATTTGAGGTTTATTGAGAACTTACTATGTCCCAGTACCAGTTCTAACCACTTTGTACCTATTAACTATTTTAATGTTTCTAACAACCTTTGATTCTGGTACCAAAATTATACCCAGATAAGGAAACAGGAAAAACATGAAAAAAATTAGGAGATTTTTTTTGGTCTTTTTAAAATCTGTCTTTGTCTTTAGATCATTAAGACATCATCCTACATTTTCTTCCAGTGGTTTGTTTTATTTTTCAATCTTTAATTCATTTGGAGTTCACCATTGTACAAAATGTGAGATAGGGAATGGCTTTCTATTTTCTAGAAAATAAGGATCAAATTCCGGATCATGGCAAATGACCCAACAGGCCCTTTTGCCACTTTTCTCTCAAGCAATCTCTTTACCAGTCAAAAAAGTCTACTCACCATTTCCTCAAAATGTCATGGACCTTTCTAATTCTGTATCTTTGCTCAGGCCTTTCCCTCACTCTGAAATAACAGCTCTACTCGCTTATCTGCAAGGAAAATTTCCATTTTTTTCAAGTTTATTTATTTATTTGGAGAGAGAGACCACGAGCAGGGGAGGGCCAGACAGAGAAGGAAAGAGAGAATCTCAAGCAGGTTCCATGCTGTCAACACAGATCCTGATGCAGGGCTGGATCTCACGAGATCATCACCTGAACCGAAACCATGAGTCGGTCAGTTAACCAACTGAGCTACCCAGGTGCCCCTGCAAAGAAAATTTCTAATCCTTCAAAACACAGTTAAAATTTAATCTCCTGTGTGAAAGTCTTCCCCAAAGTATTCACCTACGTTTTCCTTTCTTTCTTCCCGTTCTCCTTTCAAAAGTCAATTTTCCTACTCTGTGCTTCTATAGGAGTTTCTTTGTTATTTTGGTCTTTATGACTTGATTATATTTGTGTGCATATATTGTTCCTTTCTTAGAAACCATGTGTCTTTTGTGTCTAAGTGTGTTTGTTCATTTTTCAATATTTGCTTAGTACCTAGCATGTGCTAGCCCTGTGCTAACACTTAAATATACAAGTTTCCAAGTAGCTCAAACTAGTAAGAAAGACATGTATACAAAATATTATAGTTTATATTGATGAATTATTGTCATCTTTAACAGGTACTATAGACATATGTGATAAAAAGAATCAACATGCTAATGCTCATGTTTCTTTGCTACCACCAACCCAATACACACCAACAAAGATTTTTAAATAATGCAACTCCTTCTCCCCACTGCCCCAATTTAGAATTTGTGGACGAGTTCTTAGAGCTTTTGTGGGATGGAACTGATGGAATTACAGGGATAGAAAGCAATGGATTTAGGCCTTGATGCTATATTTAGGATTTGAGGGATAAGTAAAGAAGAAAAAGATTACTATTAACTATATATTTTGATCCATTTTAATGTTTTTGAAAGACTTGAATAAAGAATAGAATTCTCTAGTTCCTTCTGGCTGTTGAGCTGTATATCATAAACAAGTGTGGGCATAAACATCTCACTACCCTAAAAGGTATTATATACTCAGTGAATATGAGAGAAATTAAAAATATTAAAATGTTTACATCATGAAAAAATAAGCCATTAATGTTGCACTTCTCAGAACAGACTAAAATTATGATGTAAGGAAACATGCATTTTAGAAAAAGAACCTTATAATTTCTGGGTGTATGAAGCCTGTTGCATCCCACTTCAGCCAGGTCACCATCTCGCTGGCCCAGGAGTTCTCTGAGCCCCGCTGTCAGGGCTCTGGGCTGATGGCTCAGAGCCTGCAGCCTGCTCTGCATTCTGTGTCTCCCTCTCTCTCTCTGCCCCTCCCCCTGCCTCATGCTCTGGTCAATAGTCCCAAAATAAATAAAAAACGTTGAAAAAAAAATTTAAAGAAAAAGAAACTTTGTTTTTACGAACAAAAGAGACAAAATTCACTATTTACAAGTGGCTTATGTCCTACCTGTGGGAGACAGGCAATTAACAAAATCAATAAAGAATATGGTATATTCAAAGATAAATATTACGAAAAATAAGTCATGGAAAAGTACGAGATAAGAAGTGTAGGTGAGAGTAGAGATTCAATTTTAAATAAGGTATCCAGGAAGATTTCATGCAGATAGTGACCGATATTTGAGCAAAAACTTGAAGTACCGAGACGATCAAACTCTGGATGTTAGATATGAGAAATGACAAGTACAAAGTCCTAAGCAAGCATCTATCTGTCTATCTATCTATCTATCTATCTATCTATCTATCTATCTATCTAACATTTACAGTCTATATAGTTGGGATAAAACTCCACTTGCTACAGTATGTGACCCAAATATAATCAACACTGCTGACTTTCCTGGCCACATTTCCATCTGGTTGCATATTTCGATTATTTTCTTTTTCTTTCTTTTTCTTTTCTTATCCCATTACAAATTATGCTATAATTAATTTATTTGATTGCCTTTATGAATATTTCTATAGAATAGAATTCCAGAGGCATGACAGTCTTGGTTCAGATTGCCAAATTGCTTCCAAAGAAGTTATACCCAATTCTATTCCAACATTTTTCTGTACAAGAGAAAAACTGTCTTATCAAATGTTTGCTAGTACTGAGTACACCTATTAAATATAAAAAAAAAACTGTTAATTTTGTATATGAGAATGTGATCACATTTTAATTTAAGGTAATACATTTTTATTTCTTCATTTATCAATGAGGTTTAATTTTAAAATATATTTACTAGTCGTTTTTTTGTGAATGAACTGTTCCTGACCATTACCCAGTCTTCTATTGTAGTCTTAGTGTTTTTGCCTTATTTTTTTGATTTTTATTTATTTTTTTAATGTTTATTTATTTTTGAGAGACAGAAACAGAGAAGGCATGAGCGGTGAAGGGGCAGAGAGAGAGAGGGGGAGACACAGAATCTGAAGCAGGCTCCAGGCTCTGAGCTGTCAGCGCAGAGCCTGATGCAGGGCTTGAACCCACGAATTGTGAGATCATGACCTGAGCTGAAGTCGGATGCTCAACCAATTGAGCCACCCAGGTGCCCCTTTATTTTTATTTTTTTAACATTTATTTACTTTTGAGAGACAGAGAGACACAGAGGCATGAGCAAGGGAGGGGCAGAGAGAGGGAGACACAGAATCCCAAGCAGGCTCCAGGTTTGGAGCTGTCAGCACAGAGCCTGACGCAGGGCTTGAACTCACAGTCTGCAAGTCATGACCTGAGCTGAAGTCAAACGGTTAACTGATTGAGCCACCCAGGTGCCCCAAGTGTTTTTTCCTTATTGATTCATGCATGTTTTAATATTTTAACTTGTTTATCATATTCATGGTAATATATACCAGATTACTCCATAAAATAATATTTAAACATTAAAAATAAAAAATTGAAAAGCTACCTTAAAAATAATAGGTAGTGATAATAATAATCTAGTGATACTGATTGCTTGTCAAAGTTTTACAACAAAGTTTTCATATTTTTTTTCTTTTTTCTTTATTTTTTTTCCCTTTTTTAAAAATTTAAATCCAAGCTAGTTAACATATAGTGTAATAATGATTTCAGGAGTAGAATTTAGTGATTCATCACTTACATATAACACCTAGTGCTCATCGCAACAAGTTCCCTCCTTAATGCCCATAACCCATTTAGCCCACCCCCATCTAGCAACCCTCAGTTTGTTCTCTGTATTTAAAAGTCTCTTATTGTTTGCTTCCCTCTCTTTTATTTTTCCTTCCTTTTCCCTATGTTTATCTGTTTTGTTTCTTAAATTCTACATATGAGTGAAATCATATATTTGTCTTTCTCTGACTGACTTCTTTTACTTAGCATAATACACTCTAATTCTATCCACATTGTTGCAAATGGCAAGATTTCGTTCTTTTTCATCTCTAATATTCCAGTGTGTATGTGTGTGTGTGTGTGTGTGTGTGTGTGCGCGCGCGCATACCACATCTTTTTTATTCATTCATCAGTCGATGCACTGTTGGATTCTTTCCATAATTTGGTTATTATTGATAGTGCTGCTGTAAACATTAGGATGCATGTGTCCCTTCAAATCAATATTTTGGTATCCTTTGGATAAATACCTAGTAGTTCAATTGCTGGGTCGTAGGGTAGTTTTACTTTTAATTTTTTGAGGAACCAACATACTGTTTTCCAGAGTGCACAGTTTGCATTCCCACCAGCAGTGCAAATGTTTTCCCTTTTCTCCACATCCTCATCAACATCTGTTTTTTCCTGAGTTGTTAATTTTAGCCATTCTGACTGGTGTGAGGTGGTATCTCATTGTGGTTTTGATTTATATTTCCCTGATGATGAGTGATGTTGAGGATCTTTTCATGTGTCTGTTAGCCATCTGGATGTCTTCTTTGGAGAAATGTCTGTTCACGTCTTCTGCCCATTTCTTCACTGGATTATTTGTTTTGTGGGTGTTCAGATTGATAAGTTCTGTATGGATTTTGGATACTAACCCTTTAACCAATATGTCATATGCAAATATCTTCTCCCTTTCCATCAGTTGCCTTTTAGTTCTGAATATCAGAGTAAGGGAATAGGATAACACTACAGAAACAAAAACAAATGCCTATTTTGGGAACATTGGATAATATCTAAAATATTATAATTTCTTGTAAAAGTCTTTGAATATTTGCAGTAAACTTCTTCAGCTATATTCAACAATTATTAAATCCCAACAGTATATTAAGCACAATTTTAAGTTATTCCATATAACATTTACAATTATTATGCTACAACATTATTGTGTTCATATTACAGAGAAAAAACATGAGGCTCAAAGAAAATAAGCCTAGTAGATACCATGCTAGTAGGTAACAACTCCTGGGATTTATGTTCTTTCCATTGCACCACACTTAAGATATCTAAGAAACGTAAATTCCTTGTATGACACAAAATTATAACTAAAATTATTAAATGACATATAATTTTTGAGTCTTACCCAGCCAGAATCCAAAGCAGCAGGCATATTTCTCAGTTCATACACACCAACCTGTCCATCACTATCACCCACCAGAAGGCAATCTGTTTGTTTGGCAAAGAGGACAGTTGTGAACTTGATTCCGGGGTTAGCAACATGCACAATCAGAGGATCCAAACTGTAATAAAATATTTTATTTGTAAATGTATTTGTTGTTAACATATTCTTATATACAGATTAAGAAAAGTCTGAGATTTTTTTTTGTGATTTCATGTGACAAAAATAAAACAAAAATAAACTTTTTAAGTAAATTTCCAAAGTCAAAATAACTGTTTCTCTACTCCTTATTCAGTCAAAACTTTCACTTCTTTAGTGAACAAATTTCGACTAAATAAATTCAAGCAAGTCACAATTAAGATGTGAACTCATGGGGCGCCTGAATGGCTCAGTCAGTTGAGCATCCGACTCTTGCTTTTGGCTCAGGTCATGGTCTCATGGTTGTGGGATCAAGCCTTGTGTCAGGCTGCATGCTGAGCGTGGAGCCTGTTTAAGATTGTCTCTCTCTCCTCTCTCCATCTCTCCTCTGTTCATGCTCTCTCTCTCTCTCCAAAATAAATAAATAAGCTTAAAAAAAAAAGAGGCGAACTCATAAATTTAAACTCCTGTGCTGGTTAACTTTATGTATTTACTTGGCTAGTCTATGGTACTCAGTTGTTCATAAGGTCAAACACCAGTCTACACTTTGCTGTGAAGGTATTTTGTTTAGTTGTGATAAACATGCAGATGAGTAGAATCTGAATAAAGCACATTATGCTCCATAATGTAGGCAGACCTTATCCAATGTGTTGAAGACCTTAAGAGAAAAGACTGAGTTCCCCAAAGTAGAATAAAATTCTGCTTCCAGACTGCCTTCAGACTCAAGATTGCAAGATGGACTGACGGAATTGCAAGATGGAATTTCCTGATGGAAATTCTAGCCCGCCAGCCTATAGTTCAGACTTGGCACTTGCCAGGCCCCACAATCATGTGAGCCAATTGCTTAAAGTAAATCTCTTTCTCTCTTTTTATTGCTACTGTTTCTCTGGAGAACCCTGAGTAATACAACTTCTTAAGTAATAAATGTCTTTTAATAGAAGGATATTTTGACCCAAATGAACCTCTGGAATATAAAAGAATATTTTGAACAAGAACTTTTTAAATTCCCTGTCATCCAAAGCAATCCACTGATACCCTTAAAAAACAACAGAACCAGGGGCACCTGAGTGGCTCAGTGGGTTAAGTGTCCAACTTTGGCTCAGGTCATGGTTTTGCTGTTCGTGTGTTTGAGACCTGCGCTGACAACTCAGAGCCTGCTTCAGATTCTGTCTCTCTCTCTCTGTCCTTTCCCCACTTGTGCTCTGTCTCTCTCTCTCAAAAATAAATAAAT